AACTCTCTGGCATTGAACACAGGAGCAGCAGAAGCATCAGAAGCATCTGGACACACTTTACTGGACGTTTGACCTTAATGTGGACGAGCAGCAGAAATGAAGCAGCAGGTTTTTTCCACCTAATGCTACGTTCAAATTGCGAATTCAGCAGCAAAAAACCTGCTGCTTCATTTCTGCTGCTCGTCCACATTAAGGTCAAACGTCCAGTAAAGTGTGTCCAGATGCTTCTGATGCTTCTGCTGCTCCTGTGTTCAATGCCAGAGAGTTGCTTTGCTATATTTGCTGTGATCAGTGGGTAAAAAGTAGTTTGAATCTATTTTGAAGTGAGAAAGTCCTCTTGAAAACATGGTCTGTTCAGTCAGTTCATCCAGATTACCATCCTGCCTTCAAAGATTTTTTCTCTGTGGGAGCCGCTCAGACCCCACATACCGGCGGTGCGCCGTCACTGGGAATCCCCAACAGCAGCTGCCTCAGGCCCGCTCGCCTCTTAGGGGTTTTCCCCCTGCTGTTCGTGGCGGCTGGAAGTAGATGTTAGCGTTTCTCAGGTATGTGCTACAAACTGCAGGCAGCAGGATAATAAAAGCGAACATATTTTACCAGAAAGTTTCTACATTTTAAGTTAAACGTATATTGGAGGATGTTTTATTTCCGGATGGATCATCTAAATAAGTGGTCCTCCTAACTGTCAATCATTCTGGTGATACGTTTAGGTAAGGCCGTCCTACGTGCTCGTCCCGTTAGCTGTCTTTTTCTGCGCCCTTTCAGGCGTATATCTGTGCTGAGCTACGGTTTCAGGCAGTCATTGAAGATCACCTTTCTCACCACAGTTCTTTGAAAATGGCCGAGGGTCGGAAGAGTATTCGAAAAGAAAGGCCTCAGAAGAGGCAGATATATCCCACAATGCTTTGCACAGAGAGCTCTCCTTGCAAAGCATTATGGGATTTGCTGTCACAGCAGCTGACTAATAACAAAGATGGCGCAGGCACTGCACGGTGGAGGAGGTGTTATGTGACCAACGGAGCAAAAAGCAGTGATCATCTGTCTGAACGGTCAGCTAACTGAGTTCACTAGATTTAGGGGTTAGGGCAGACGGTTGGACACAGTAAGCTTGGATAAACGATGCAAACAGCAACTTTTAAACAGAGCGTGCACAAGCCCATTTCTCCTTGCACGCATTTAATAGGCGTTCCCTCTCGGGAGCGGCCACAGGGTTGTGCATGTGCATTTTTTATTAAGGTGAAGAGGGTTGGTCTCTTTGTGAAAAATTTGTGAAAATCCTCCATAATACCTTTAAGCCCCCAGCAACCAGCCACCCTGTGAAATACATCAATCTATCAAAGCTGTGTCTTCATGATAATGGTTGCTCCTGCTGTTCTATATAGGCCTAAGCTGTAGTTTTTGATGGGCGGACTCTTTAGTTTCAGTTTTTCTTCTGTCTTCTAGTTAATCCCAGAGTAAACGAGGAGCTGCAGCAGCGTCTTCCCTCACCTTCCAGGCAGCACCTTAGCAACACCCACAGGTTGGTGCACCTCCTTCACAATCCACAGCCTGAAGTGCAGGAATACAGACCTCAGTCTCATCGGTTTAACATTAAGCTTCTGTAATGAACTTTAAATTAACCCAAAAGTTCTTGGGTTTTTGGTTTTCTTTGAGGTTCTTGGTCCTAAAAGGACCTAAAAAGCCACTGCTTGTTTTCCGAGACCCTCATGAAGGACTTGGCAAACATTGTTCCACACAGAGAGTTAGATCTGCCTCTTTGCTTATGGTGGTTCTTTACTGTCAGCATGGTGTTGCAGTTTCAACCAGAACACGGACAGGAAGCACATCTCTCCTTGGAGGTTCAGGGTCATCAACTTTATTCTGCACTGAATCTGAACAAGCTGCAGACATTAGAACGGAGGCTAATTTGTTTTGCACTCAGAACCTCTAGAGATGCTACAAGATCTCTGCTGATAAAAGCCTGAAATACTAAAACCTCCTAGAATTCAGTTCAGGTCTGAACTTCCTCGTCCTGAAGGACAGAAACCAGATTCCACCTGCAGCCAGAAGAACACCTCTCATTTCTTCTTCATTTGGTTTACAGATCAGGAAGCAGCCTGAGCCTGGACCACACCTCACCTCAGGGTAAATCCATCCATCCGTCCATACATCATTCCATCCATCCATCCGTCCATACATCATTCCATCCATCCATCCGTCCATACATCATTCCATCCA